ATTAGTTCATAGCGTATCTGTCTTACACCTAAAAGGGTCGCACTAGAGTTTCCCCACATGATGGGCGCAATTTAACGGCCGTACCGAATATCTAGGGTCCCTCTGCCCCTGCAACAGTTCTTTTACGCTTTTGATTTTTCTTTTGCCGCTTCTCTTTTCTTTCTTTCTTTCCTATGCGGTCAGGTCTGACTTTGTTGCAAGCCACCGACACTCCCCACGCGTGTGAACGGACAAGAGTGAGAGATGTACCCGTGGCGTTGTCCAGGCCGTTCAGAAAGTCCTTTCCACGTGGTAAAACTTGTGCGTATGGGAAAAATATTCTGGTGCATGCGTAGGTTGGATCGGGACTGTGCAACCCACTGGCTAAGACCAGACCTGTTGAAGAGGGCGGTTGATGTTGTTGTCGTTGTTTTGTATTCTATTGGTTTGTCCAAACTTGAAAGGATATTTAAAATAATGGCAGTTTTCCAAGTGTTTATTTTTTTAGGATAATTAAAATAAAATGATATTATCATTAAAATTTTGCTAAAAAATATTATAAATTTAATTTAAGTAATAATGGGTTATTGGGGCATGTTTTGATTGGGGACAGGATACCGACCAAAGGGTATTTAAAAATTGGGTCATGGGAAGGGAGAACGCTTTTGTTCCCAATGGTTTCCTAAATTTCTGTGGGACTTTGGTCTATGTAGCACGTGATAACGTAACAGTACCCCATTGTATTTTTACTTACTTATAAGTAATTGTCTAATTTCTAATAATGCATTCAAATATGAAAAGAAATCTTTCCAAATGTATGTTTTACTAATTAGTTATAGCAAAACATGCTCTAATGCTCTATAGCCATTGTATTACCTTTTAGTCTGAACCTGTCGTTGTAACAAATATTGATATTGTTACAATTAAATAAAAAAATAATAATTACACTATTTATTCTCATGTCGCACCTTTATTTACATTCATTGTTCATTCTGTCTTTTGTGCACTTAGTATTTTAGACGACGTAGAGGTGTTTGAATTAATGAATCTTCTTATCTTCCTAATTGTTATGACAAAACAATTTAACTTCACCCTTCGATATGTATCTAAACCACCATTAACCTTCATTATCAAGTCATTAATCTCAAAATTTTAAGTCTTAATCAACCCCATGCCCATAGAATTATTACCATACTTTGCTTCTTCACACTACATTTCCAAACAAAAACAATCCAATTCAACTTAATTATGATAACCCTTGTTAACATGAATTAAGATGTAAAATTGGAATTCTTTTTTTCTTTTGAAGACTTCTTTGATATTCACAGAAAAAGTAAAAGAAAGTTTCTGCGTTAATGGGGTTTTGTCGCTTTGAGATATGAGGTGAGCGTCCGAATTTAAAAGAAACAAAGAAAAACCAAAGGAAGAAGAATGAGAGATCACGTTCGAAAGAGAAAAGCAAAAGAAGAGGCAGAGGTGATGGACGAGAGAGAAATAAATTTGATTTTATTTTTGATGTAATCAAAATTTAAGGAAAATATCAATATTTATTACTAAGTTTTTTAATTTATTTATATAATGAAATGGTCCTTTATGATGGCTTGAGTGTATAGAAGTTATAAATTACCAATGTATCAAATATAAATTTTTGTTTCCAGTCATTTATAAAAATTAAAATTCATGGTTGATAAAGAAATTTAAAAGGTAAAGAGGTGAGGTAAAATATCAATAAGAAATTAATTAAATAAATTACATTCTTTGGTTCCAATAATAAAAGATTTTAAATTCTAATATCAATAGTATCTGGTTGACGCTATGTAGGAGGATGGAAGGTAAACTCTACAATAAAATGAGTGAAAAAACAGTACATTTATGTTATTATCTTGAGATCGAAATAACCTATTTGTCGTGGGATATAATTTATTAAAAAAAGAAAGGGTAGGGTAAGCCAGTGCAATCCCTTTGGTGGGTAGAGGATTTGTTGGGAGGTATCCTGTTGAGGTGACATTTGGCATTTTGCCTTTGAACAAGCATCTGGCTGCAATGGCTGGCTGCCGTCTCTTTGCATGATGATCATCAAACGCCAAAGAATAAATATATTGGGGGGGTGGTAGAAGGTCTCTTTATAATATCTTATTTTTAATTAATTTTGAAAATGAAAATCTAACCACTAATCAAATGATAAAGAAAGTAGGAAAATTCAAAGCCAATTATCAGGAAAGCTACTTGGATGCTCCATATATACAATGGATCGGTATCTGCACCAATGTGACCCAACTAACATTGACAATATTCAGTCCATGATCATCTTCATCATCATAATAATACTAATTATTATTAATAATATACAACTTATTATAATATAATATTGCACATATCTTTATTTGGGATACCACAAGATTTTTAATACCATATATACTCTACTTCAGCTATTTACATTTTGTAGGGAGAGGTGAGTGGAGAGCAAGCCTTCATTTTTCCTTTTTAAGGGGAAAAGAAGGTAAAGTAGTAATAATATAATTTTTTTTTTGGGTTTCTTTTGAGACCTTTTTGGATTTAATTATGGTTGAATTGTACAATAATAAAAAGGTTGCTGGAATGGGAACTTACATAACCTTTCAAGGGAAATTAAAGTTGGTTGGGACCTAAAATAACTTGAGAATCATGAATAAAATACTAAGAACCAAGCAGTAATATATATATATATATATATGCATGTATGTATATTGTTAGGACAAGGAAAATCAGTGATAATGTCAAATGATATGTCATGGTACAGAGAAGGTCATTGAAAAAGATGGGACGGGACGATAGGCCATGCTTTTACAAAGAGAAAGAGGCAAGGAAGCAGGAAGGGAGGAGGTGCCATGGCTCACAAGCAACATACGCTGTTCACTATTTAGTGACAAACCAGCAGCACACATTATTTGCCTTTCAAGTCAACCAAAAATAAAAAAGAAGAAGAAGAAAACAATCAATCTCATCTGATCTGATGCATGCGGTCCTTTTTATCTGCAACTTGACGTAATTTCTGCTTGATTTTGACGTTGCCCAACTTGCATGTCATCAAACTATATGCTGCTCCTCCTCCCGTCTTCTAATTGATAACAGCTAATAAATTATATAAATGTATATAATGTATATATATATATAAGTTAGTGATAATCATGGAAGGCATAATATATGACATCCACGGTGGAATTTATACTATTTAACAAGATTATTAAATTAATATATATTATTTGGTAGAAATAAATTAATATATTTAGTTAAATAAACATCATCATACAAATGTACAAATCCATATGTGAATCGATGCTGAATATGATTAAACGTTAGTTAATCATAATTAAATCTACACTGAGTTGGGTTATTTGAGATGAATATAATTGGATTTAAATAGGTATATCTACATTAATTATTATAACCTTACTCAATTTCTTTTCGTTTCTTTTTTTTTAAATAAAAAAAAAAAACCATCTTGCCATGTCTGCAACTGTAAGGGCAGGGCAGACTTAGCTTTCGTTACTATAAATATATATATATATATATATTGGGCAAAAAGTGTGGAGGTGCAAGGCTAAGGCTGTGGCTATGGCTAAGGCTAAGATGAAGGTAATGATGGTGGTATAATATGATGCTTGGGATCATACTATAATTGGGTTGCTCTCTTCTTCTAAACGGTTTGTCCTTTGAGGGCCTATCATTGCTTTTGCTCCTCTCCTTATGCATATAGATTGCCTCATTTAATTATTGTTCTGACTAACCAAACAAGCCACGTGGCTTACAGCTCATCATCATTTCGACACTTCTCTCTCGCTAATCAACGGTGGGATCTTTAAGTCCCCGCCTTTGTCTCTATCAGCTTAATATATCCCTGCCGTTGA